GTGAGCAATTGCATTGTGCATCATTCATTTTGTATATTCTGTTACCATTCTCATTATTACTATTATTATTATTTTCTCTTATTAAACTGTCTTTATCTCAGCCCTCGGCTCTAACCTTTTTTTTCCTTCCCGATTCTCTCCCCCATCCCACTGAGGGAGGGGAGGAGTGAGAGAGCGGCTGCGTGGTGCTTAGGTGCCAGCCGGGGTAAATCACGACACCATGGTGAGGCAGCTGTCCCCCTGCAGCCCAGGGAGGCCCAGTGGGGAGCAGATCTCCACCTGCAACCCAGGAAGGAACCCACACTCGAGGAAGAGGATGTGCCCAAAGGAGGCTGAGACATCATGGAGATCCTGCACTAGAGCAGATTCCTTGTACGACCTGTCATCCTGTGAAGATGGAGCCCACGCTGGAGCATATTTTCATGGTAGGACCTGAGACTCTGTGGGGGACCCATGCTGGAGCAGTCTGCTCCTGTAGGACCACACCTGTGGAAAGGACCCATGCTGGAGCAAATCGTGAAGAACTGCAGCCTCATGTTGGAGGACTGCCTGTCGCGGGAGGGACCCCAGGCTGCAGGAGAGGAAGAGTGTGAGGAGTCCTCCCCCTGAGGAAGAAGGAGCAGCAGAAACAATGTCTGATGAACTGAGTGCAGCCCCCATTCCTGTCCCCCTGTGACACTTGGGGAGAGGAGGTAGAGAGAATTGGGAGTGAATTTGAGCCTGGCAAGAAGGGAGGGGTGTGGGGGAGGTGTTTTAAGATTGTTCTTAATTCTTATTATCTTATTCTGACTATTGATTAGCAATGCATTAAATTAATTTTTGATTAAATTAAGTTTTTTGATATTTTCTCGGCTGTTCTGTCATAATCACATGTTGTGGTTTACCTCGGGAGGCAGCTGAACACCACACAGCAGCTTGCTCATTCCCCACTCTCCCTCAGAGAGATGGGGAGAGTCAATCAGAAAAAAAAATATAAAACCTGTGGATTGAGATCAAGAAAGTTTAATAAAACAGTAGAGAAGAAAATATATACAGAATATACAAAACAGGTGATGAACAATGCAATTGCTCACTACCTGTTAACTGATGCCCAGCCCACCCAGAGCAGCGATCACTCCTCCCCAGCCGAGTACCCTCGAGCATGACATCACATGGTCTGGAATAGCCCTTGGGCCAGTTGGCATCAGCTGTCCTGGCTGTGCCTCCTCCCAGCTTCCCGTGCCCCTGTCAGAGCAGGGGAAGCTGAAAAAGTCCTTGACTGGTGTAAGCCCAGCTCAGCAACCACTAAAACATCAGTTTATTACCAATGTTACTCTCATACAGAATCTCCAGAACAGCACTGCACCAGTCACCAGGAAGAGAATTAATTCTATCCCAGCAGAAACAAGGACACAGCCCCATTGGTGTCTCCTGTTTACCAGATCACTGCCCTCTTTCAGTAGCAGCCCTGCATTTCCCTTCTTCAGCCTCAGGCTCTAACCCAGAAATTGAAGCTCTTCTCTTTGCTCTTGACTTTTCTTGCAGCCACCAGCTCCAGGTGGTTACCCCCTGGCAGCTGCTTCATGCCCCTGGCAGTGCCCTGTCCTGTGCTGGCCCATCCCTGCTGTCCCACACATGGTCCCATGGACCCACTGTGGAGACACAGCTTGGCAAGAGTGTGTTTGGTGTGAGGAACAGTTTCTCTTGCATGATCTCCATGACATCCCCTAGTGCCCTGTCCTCCTTTGGTTCCTCCTACTTCAGACAGCCTCCACCAAGTCCTGGAACCTACCCAGCCCTATCCATATCCCATGTGGGGTTTTGCAGACATCCCTGCTCGTGGGTCTGCCAGGGTCTGGACAAAGAGTGAGGTCGAGCAGGGCTGGGCATTCCCCGAGTGCAGGCACTGAGCCCAGCAGCAGGAGGCGAATGGCCATGCAGAAAACTCACCCATAAACCTGTGGGGAGCAGCAAGTGCTAGAAGTAGCCAAACAGGGAGAGCACCAGTGAAAGCTCACTCCAGTCGCATTTCCCTTCTTCAGGTTTAAGATATAACACAACAACTGAAGCTCTTTGCTCTTGACTTTTCCTTGCAGCCACAACTCCAGGTGGTCAACCCCTGGCAGCTGTTTTGTGCCCCTGGCAGTGCCCTGTCCTGTGCCGGCCCAGCTCTGCTGTCCCACACATGGTCCCATGGACCCACTGTGCAGACACAGCATGGCAAAGGGTGTATTCAGTGTGTGGAAGTTTCTCTTGCATGATCTCCATGGCATCCCCTAGTACCCTGTCCTCCTTTTGTTCCTCCTACTTCAGACAGCCTCCACCAAGTCCTGGAACCTACCCAGCCCTATCCACATCCCATGTGGGGTTTTGCAGACATCCCTGCTTGGGGTCTGCAAGGGTCTGGACAAGAAGAGAGGTCAAGCAGGGCTGGGAATTCCCTGAGTGCAGGCACTGAGCCCAGCAGCAGGAGGGAAATGATCTGGCAGGCAAACTCACCTATAAGCCTGTGGAGAGCAGCCAGTGCTGGAAGTGGCCAAACAGGGAGAGCACCAGTGAAAGCTCAGTCCAGTCCCATTCCCTAACACATCGCCCCATGCCCTCCTCCCCTCAGCCCATGGAGAACCCAAGCACAGCAGCACGGCAATAGAGGGGGCAATTTCTTCAGCCTGTTCCTGACCTCAGCTTTGGAAGAAGACCCATCTTCGAGACAGTGGCACTGAGGAAACTTCCTTTTATTACAGAGATGTGACGGGGAGGCCAGCTGTGCCATCAGACCAGACACATGTGCAAAGTCCTCTGGGTCAGACAGACTGGGTTCATGCTTGTGGAGACATGGAGTGCATGCAGACATTCCTGGGGAAGCAGAATTTTCACCAATAAAGTTCCCAAAGCACAGGAGGTTCCTGAGATTCACTAGAAACCACTTGTTGAAGACAAATGGGGAGCTAACTGCTGCTGAAATACTACCGATGGAATCAGCTTCCTGAGTGCATCTTTGAGCTCCTGGTTCCTCATGCTGTAGATGAAGGGGTTCACTGCTGGAGGCACTACTGAGTACAGAACAGCCAGCACCAGATCCATGGATGGGGATGAGATGGAGGGGGGCTTCAGGTAGGCAAACATGCCAGTGCTGAGAAACAGGGAGACCACGGCCAGGTGAGGGAGGCACATGGAAAAGGCTTTGTGTCGTCCCCGCTGAGAGGGGATCCTCAGCACGGCCCTGAAGATCTGCACATAGGACAGCACAATGAACACAAAACAACCAACTGCTAAACAAAAACTAAGTACAAGAAGCCCAGCTTCCCTGAGATAGTCTGATTCTGAGCAGTAGAGCTTGAGGATCTGAGGGATTTCACAGAAGAACTGCTCTACAGCATTGCCCTTGCAGAGGGGTAGGGAAAATGTATTGGCCGTCTGCAGGAGAGCATTGAGAAAGCCGCTGCCCCAGGCAGCTGCTGTCACATGGACACAAGCTCTGCTGCCCAGGAGGGTCCTGTAGCGCAGGGGTTTGCAGATGGCAACGTAGCGGTCATAGGCCATGATGGTGAGAAGACAATACTCTGCTGCTACCAAGAAGGCAAACATAAATAGCTGGGCAGCACATCCTACATAGGAAATTGCCCTGGTGTCCCAGAGGGAATTAGCCATGGATTTAGGGACAGTGGTGGAGATGGAGGCCATGTCAAGGAGGGAGAGATTGAGGAGGAAGAAGTACATGGGGGTGTGGAGGCGGTGGACGCAGGCTATGGCGGTGATGATGAGGCTGTTTCCCAGGAGGGCAGCCAGGTAGATGGCCAGGAAGAGCCAGAAGTGCAAGAGCTGCAGCTCCCTTGTGTCTGCAAATGCTAGGAGGAGGGACTGGGTGATGGAGCACCAGCTCCAGGTGGTTACCCCCTGGCAGCTGCTTCATGCCCCTGGCAGTGCCCTGTCCTGTGCTGGCCCATCCCTGCTGTCCCACACATGGTCCCATGGACCCACTGTGCAGACACAGCTTGGCAATAGTGTGTTTGGTGTGAGGAACAGTTTCTCTTGCATGATCTCCATGACATCCCCTAGTGCCCTGTCCTCCTTTGGTTCCTCCTACTTCAGACAGCCTCCACCAAGTCCTGGAACCTACCCAGCCCTATCCATATCCCATGTGGGGTTTTGCAGACATCCCTGCTTGGGGGTCTGCCAGAGTCTGGACAAAGAGTGAGGTCGAGCAGGGCTGGGCATTCCCCGAGTGCAGGCACTGAGCCCAGCAGCAGGAGGCGAATGGCCATGCAGAAAACTCACCCATAAACCTGTGGGGAGCAGCAAGTGCTAGAAGTAGCCAAACAGGGAGAGCACCAGTGAAAGCTCACTCCAGTCGCATTTCCCTTCTTCAGGTTTAAGATATAACACAACAACTGAAGCTCTTTGCTCTTGACTTTTCTTGCAGCCACCAACTCCAGGTGGTCAACCCCTGGCAGCTGTTTTGTGCCCCTGGCAGTGCCCTGTCCTGTGCCGGCCCAGCTCTGCTGTCCCACACATGGTCCCATGGACCCACTGTGCAGACACAGCATGGCAAAGGGTGTATTCAGTGTGTGGAAGTTTCTCTTGCATGATCTCCATGGCATCCCCTAGTACCCTGTCCTCCTTTTGTTCCTCCTACTTCAGACAGCCTCCACCAAGTCCTGGAACCTACCCAGCCCTATCCACATCCCATGTGGGGTTTTGCAGACATCCCTGCTTGGGGTCTGCAAGGGTCTGGACAAGAAGAGAGGTCAAGCAGGGCTGGGAATTCCCTGAGTGCAGGCACTGAGCCCAGCAGCAGGAGGGAAATGATCTGGCAGGCAAACTCACCCATAAGCCTGGGGAGAGGCGCCCGTGCAGAGCAGCCAGTGCTGGAAGTGGCCAAACAGGGAGAGCACCAGTGAAAGCTCAGTCCAGTCCCATTCCCTAACACATCGCCCCATGCCCTCCTCCCCTCAGCCCATGGAGAACCCAAGCACAGCAGCACGGCAATAGAGGGGGCAATTTCTTCAGCCTGTTCCTGACCTCAGCTTTGGAAGAAGACCCATCTTCGAGACAGTGGCACTGAGGAAACTTCCTTTTATTACAGAGATGTGACGGGGAGGCCAGCTGTGCCATCAGACCAGACACATGTGCAAAGTCCTCTGGGTCAGACAGACTGGGTTCATGCTTGTGGAGACATGGAGTGCATGCAGACATTCCTGGGGAAGCAGAATTTTCACCAATAAAGTTCCCAAAGCACAGGAGGTTCCTGAGATTCACTAGAAACCACTTGTTGAAGACAAATGGGGAGCTAACTGCTGCTGAAATACTACCGATGGAATCAGCTTCCTGAGTGCATCTTTGAGCTCCTGGTTCCTCATGCTGTAGATGAAGGGGTTCACTGCTGGAGGCACTACTGAGTACAGAACAGCCAGCACCAGATCCATGGATGGGGATGAGATGGAGGGGGGCTTCAGGTAGGCAAACATGCCAGTGCTGAGAAACAGGGAGACCACGGCCAGGTGAGGGAGGCACATGGAAAAGGCTTTGTGTCGTCCCCGCTGAGAGGGGATCCTCAGCACGGCCCTGAAGATCTGCACATAGGACAGCACAATGAACACAAAACAACCAACTGCTAAACAAAAACTAAGTACAAGAAGCCCAGCTTCCCTGAGATAGTCTGATTCTGAGCAGTAGAGCTTGAGGATCTGAGGGATTTCACAGAAGAACTGCTCTACAGCATTGCCCTTGCAGAGGGGTAGGGAAAATGTATTGGCCGTCTGCAGGAGAGCATTGAGAAAGCCGCTGCCCCAGGCAGCTGCTGTCACATGGACACAAGCTCTGCTGCCCAGGAGGGTCCTGTAGCGCAGGGGTTTGCAGATGGCAACGTAGCGGTCATAGGCCATGATGGTGAGAAGACAATACTCTGCTGCTACCAAGAAGGCAAACATAAATAGCTGGGCAGCACATCCTACATAGGAAATTGCCCTGGTGTCCCAGAGGGAATTAGCCATGGATTTAGGGACAGTGGTGGAGATGGAGGCCATGTCAAGGAGGGAGAGATTGAGGAGGAAGAAGTACATGGGGGTGTGGAGGCGGTGGTCGCAGGCTATGGCGGTGATGATGAGGCTGTTTCCCAGGAGGGCAGCCAGGTAGACGCCCAGGAAGAGCCAGAAGTGCAAGAGCTGCAGCTCCCGTGTCTCCACGAATGCCAGGAGGAGGAAGTGGGTGATAGAGCTGCTGTTGGACATGTGCTGCCTCTCGGCATGGGGTCCTATTGCTAGAGAAAGAGACAATGAAGTTTTAGGAGAGTGGTCCCTGAGGAAAATCAAAGCCTTTCTCCTATACATTCACTCTGCTACACCCACTCCCCTTCCATTCCCTTTCCAGGAGACCTTCCTTTATCTCTGTGTCTACAGCTCTAGCTTGTGCTGGCCGAGCGTGCCATGAGGAGCAGGGCCTCGGCCCGCTGTCTGCTGAGGAGCCGACCCTGCTCTGCAGCAGTGAGCTCATGGGAACAGTAGGGGCAGGGGCCAGTCCTGGTGTTTGATTTTGTCAGATCAATCCATTCCTACTGCAGGAGGTCCTGTCAGCATCTAAACACTCCGTGCTAAGGAATGAGGATGCCAGCAGACAGTTGGAGAAGTTTGGTGTTTTTAAAGCTCCCCCCATCTTACATGGGATTTTTTCTTGGATGTCAGAAACCCTCAGCATTTCTGGTGTACTCAGGGAGAACAGAGAGAGTCCTGTGAGGAAAAGGATGGCCTGTGGCTTAGTGCAGAGTGAGGGCAGCTGGTCTGTCCCTCTGACTTCTTTCCAGGTGTCCCTGCCTTGCACCTTTCAGAGATGAAGGGTAAGAAACTTTCTCTGTTACCCTGAAAAGCAGTCAGACACTCTTGAGAGCAGAGGCATGCGGTGCAGACCACTAAATGCCTCACCCTTCCTCAAGGTCTCAGCACCCTACTTTTAGCCCAGGACACACATGACTCCTTTTCCCTTTTCTATCAGTTCCTGCATCTCTACACTTCTCCACGGGCCTTTCAGATTATGTAAAGGTGCTATTGGACAGGTTTTTGTTGTGGAAGGCAGCTGACAGCTTGGGAGGACACCTCAGGGTGATAGCCACATTCTCAAAGGCTTGCATCTGGTTAAGGGAAAATGAACTTATTTTCTAGCCTTACAGGCTCCATTGCCATAGAGGAAACCTGACATACGTGTTCCTATGGACACACTTGCATGGGGGGACCCACAAGATCAGTCTGTGACTCTGAAGCTGAAATTCCACTTCCCCAGAGAACCCAGTAGCAAGAATGAAATAACAATAGCAATAACACATAGCAGTGAAGGAACAAGCAAATATCCAGTGGGTGGAAAGAGGCCAGGGCAGAGGCAGGCAGGCCCTCAGGCAGCGTTACCCTGCCCCAGCTCTGCACGCCACCTCCCAGGCACCACCATTGCCGGGCAG